TTGTTCCCTACAATTCACAAATATACAAAATTAAGTCACAATTCAATCATTTTGCTCGTTTTTAAGTCATGTTTGTGACCTAAATAAGTGTGCAAAAACACACTTATCAGTTTTGTTTCTCCGTTCAATGAAGTGCTCTACTGGAATGCATTTTCCGTCATTGTTGCTGAAAAGGATATCCCGAAGCTTAAAAGAAATACTCTTAGCTATCCCTTTGAGACGTTAGCTTACCATGCAAACCAATGTGAAAATGTTGCAGAAGCATTTCATCTGGAATGCACAGCCGGTTAGATTTGATTTTTTTCATTTTATTCTACATTCAACACGGAATAGCACAATTCACCACATTGAGATACCAAAGCCATCATAAATTCCAGTGCCTTTTTCTTGTGTGGGTTCTAATGCTGAAGGTATAACCATTTAAGCCGAGATGCAGAACAGATGTCCAATCTTTAAGGTTAATACTCGCTCGAATTCACAGGCTTATCTATTTTCATGGTGGGCGAAGGAAAACTCATTTGTAGATTCTCATTCGGAACAAGACAATGAGTACAAAGTAACAAGTTCCTCTTATTGATTTGGTTCAAAATATCAGTTTATTACAATGAAAGGAACAACTGCTTTTAAGGCTCTTGAAGGCTGCAATTTTTTGTGGTCCTCTTATAGTGGCTTTTGGAATTTAAATTCTTTCGGCAAATTTACTAAAACGTTAATTATTTATTTTGAGTTAAAATTACTTATAAATGAAATATATATTCTACACTAACTATGTAATCCGACTATTGGAGTAATAACCAAACTCAAAACTATGACAAATTCATAAAGTACATGAAATATGACAAAACCGGGGATTGCAATTCTTTCTACTCCTGGATGAATAATCACATGTTGGACTCGAAGGAATTAATTGGCGGAGAAATTTCCTATTCCCCATCAAGTTCAAGAAGTTGGTTTACCATTCAGATATTCAACTGATAAGTCAAAGAATTCTTCTATATATCAAAAGTTCAAGTCTGTTGCATCTTCATTTTCCTGATCTTCTGCAGCTTCTGTCCCACAACTTTCCATTGAATTAATCTCAGGCACAGTTGAAGTGTTTTCAATGTTTTTCTCCGCTTGTTTTAGTTTCTTGCTCAAATGAGAATGCCAGTAATTCTTGATCTCATTATCAGTTCGGCCTGGAAGTCTCCCAGCAATCAAGGACCACCTATCCACCAAAAGAGTTTACCAATTATAATTAACCATTGTTTGGTACTGCTTCTATGATTCATGGCAAACTAGCCTTGGAATGAATGCTGATAGAAAACTGAATCTATATAAATATATAAATTTATCCCTTCTTAACAAGTTAAATTTTAGACGCGATTTTTAGCACTTAGCTCTTTATCTCACGTGAGACTTATGATAATCAAACAAAAATAGTACAGGCCAATTTGATACTAACCTATTTCCTAGAAGTTTATGAAGCCTGAGTATCAAATCGACTTCTTCATCAGATATGTTGCCTCTCTTGATATTGGGTCGAAGATAATTCAACCATCTCAACCTGCAACTCTTCCCGCACCTGTTCAATCCTGTAATAACCATCCAATACCGTGAAATTTACATCGTAAGTTTAGAATAACTTAATTAAACATACGGGTAAGTTTATTTGGTGCATAGTATTAGACTCGACTGAATTTTATAATATGCAGTCAATATGCATATAACCTGATTTGGTTGCCAATGTTCTCCATTTCTTTGGACCATATTTCTCTATGGAATCAGCTAGTTTCCTATCTTCTTCAGCTGTCCATACACCTTTCTTTAGAACTCTTTTAGCAGATTTATCATCATTTAGAGCCATGGGAGAGAGAGATATTGTATGTTTTGCATTCAGAAGAAGACAAGTGATAACTCCTAAAATTTAAAGAAATTAATTGTATCACTAGGTGGGAAGACTTATGTAGGCTCTACCTTGTATGGATACAAGGAGAAAGAGACCTAAATGACAAGTGAAAACGTTATTTCTAAAAAATAAAAATAAAAAATAAGACATAAAATGTTGTGAAATTGTTTTTTAAGATATTATACCGTGGTAACTAGGGCAGAAAAGTGTGCATTTCTTTTCATAACATTTCTTTTCATAAGTAACCTACTTCAAATAAGAATTTCAAAAATATTGTGCTATTTTTTTCTTTTGGAAATATTGCGTTACATTTCCCATTAACATACTATCTTAAGTTCGCATAAATGTTTACGAATATTTTCATAAAAGGTTTCCTTCAAATTTTCAATGAAGCTTTTCGAATTATACTGAAAAGATATTTACCTTTTTAGTTTTGAGTTTTCAAAAGTTTCAATTTCTGAAACTGTGTAACAGAAACACTAGCATTTTAGAAATTTCCATAAAACTTATCACTTATCCAAGACGAGCAGCAAAGTAAAATTGTGGGGTGGGGGGGGAGGGGGGGAGATAGTTCAAGAAAATGAGGAAAGTAGTAATTCAGATGTTGATGTAAGATGCTTCTGGTGGTTGGGAGATTGAATAGCTAACGTTCCCAGCTACCAGTAATGGCAAATCACCGAATAACTTTTATGATCACTTTAAAATATTTTTCTATTAACTAATTAGCGGTGTTAAAATCATACATGAATTAATATTTGTGCAATTTTTTTGTACAAAAAAGGAAATGGTAAAAATAAAATAAAATATACCTTCGTTTATCCAGGTTGGTGACCGACTACATTATGCATTTATTGAAATACATTATCGTGAATAAAGTGGGCTCCTCAATATAGGAACGAAAACTTCATTGGCTAAGTTTTCATTGAAAAATACATTGAAGAATCCATCTTACCTTGAACGAAAAAAACATTTCGAAGTGATTAAGGCTCTTTTTAAGTGCAGCTACCGTATTTATAGATAAAAAATTTTAATTTTATTCTCAAAATTATATAAAAGCTTGAATTCAAAATCACCTCAGTGACACGGAGACGTATTTATGTTTCAGACGAGACGAGAATTCATTATCTAAGACTTTGTAGGAAAGAGGCCTCATCACATTGATGACTTCGTCCTTTGCTATACCGAGCTGTACCGTAATCGTACGAGAGTTGAGTCCTCGCACAAGAAAATTGTAGCTAGACTTGTTAAGATAGATAGCAGATCGCAACACTTAACATCCCTCGATATGGTCAAATTATTTTAATAGATGACTGTCATGAGACTGGGTGATTCATTGAATGTTCAAACTTAGCATGAGGTGGAGGTTTCAACGTCCAAATGCTCCATTCAGATCATTATTGATCATAGGTCGTCTAATTTAGGTACGTCTTCAATTCTTCAAGCGTAACTCTTCATGATTTTTAATGCCTGACCAGTGCCGAACTTATCAAATTTCACAAAATTAATTGAAAAAAAAAATTAGAAGATTTGTTGGGTTGAGTGACTTGCCATTTTTTATTTTTTTTAAATTTTTTTTGGAAAAAACCATGGTTAGTTCTTTCTCTGTTTTATTTTTTAGTCAAATTGAAGTGGTGCGCAATATTTCAATATCATAAAACTGGATAGAGCTAGTTGATTTAATTTTATCATATAATATTTCTAACACTTTGTCTTTTTTAATACTTTTAAAAAAATAGCCACTTTTGAAAAAGTTTACCGATTTTACTCTTAAAAAACATGTCGGGTTATAATCAGCCT